TAATAACAATAAAAATACATATGTATATTGATAAATGTATGTATTTATTTTTTAATCAAATTCAATTGCAAAAATATATGCAATTTTAATTTATAAATGTTTTACCTGTTAAATTATGTTCAATAATAAAAATATAAAAGGGTAGAACACGATTACGAATGAAATTGTATGCGACGTTGTCAAATTTACAAATTTCACCGTATTATATCTAATAAATATAGAATACATATACCAATAGTAATACATATAGTAAATACATATAGTAATACATATACATCTAACAATACATATAGTATACCAACAGTTCTATAATAGTTCATAAAAAAAATTAATAATAAAATAATAAATAAAATAAGGATAACTAAATAAAAGAAAAATAATTAATAAATAAATAAAATCGACAGTCTTTTTTTGAATGAAATCATTGTTATAAATTATTTGAAAATGTTTAAATTTGGATTCCTTGACATCTATAACCTACTACTTTTATTGAAACTCGGAAAATACCGTATAATATAACGGAAATAATGAAATTTCGTTATATCTCATATATTTGATATCATTAACAATAAACATAGGTAATGAAAGCAATAAAACACAAAGTATTTACTAACTTTTTTAAGTTCTCTCGTATAGGCATGTGGTACACATTAATATCGGTATGAAAATTAGCATGAACGGTTAAAACTTCGTACGCGGTAACGGTTACTTCGTAACGGTTTTCAATATCACTATTCGGTATTTTGGTTTTAATTATGGTTGTATGTTCATATCATAGAGTAACTCTATGATCCATATACAATTGTGGTTTTCACTGCCCCTCCTCCCGAGAAAAATTTCTGCGGACGGCCTTGCTCGCCATACATTGAGTTTTAAATTTAATAAATGTTAGGGTACTGTACGTGCTTATTTTGATGTATGGAATATTTTTGTTTTACTTTTTTTTTATAATAATTTTAGTACACAATCAAATCGCTCAATAAACCTAACCTAAATGTATTTACTCCAATACAGCGCGAAAACTATATCATATATTTCGTTACATCAAGAATTACTACGCCACTACGGTGTTATTGTATAATAATAATTATAATAATATAATGTGTATTGTGTGTACGTGTGAACGGTGTATAATTAACAAATTTAACACAAAATTATGCAATATGTCACGGTATATTACATATCGTTTAGGTTGCTAATAGATGTATTATATTTATATACGTATAAGTATATACGATAATACTCAGTTATCTATTTCCAGCACTGTCAATTTGGTATATTTAAAATTTTAAAATTTGCTAGTTCAAAAAACATATTCATATTTAAACCTTCTACGTCTAAACTCCCTCAAACCCTGTTCGTGTTATCCATCTATATTTTGCAGTGCAACAGTCTGAAAATTGTCATTCATCTTTTGGCAGAGAGCTATTGTGAGTACAGTCTACTTCTTATCAACAATTATTTGGACTAATCTGACTGATTACATATCAGCTGTTTCTTCACCTTCGTTCTCTTGGAGACTTAGACGCGTTGATACAAACTTTATTAGTATTAGCAATAGTACTACTTTTCATTCCGCACGCATCGCTGCATCTTTGGTTGCATCCTCTCTCTTAAAGGAACAGGCTAATTGTGACGTTCGTTTTTGCTGAGCTATGGCCCCGACGACTCCAAATGCTGTCTCCCAAGTTACTACTCGTGCCAAAACAGCCGCTCCACTAACCTTAGATGTTTTTAACAAAACTATGGCTGAGCACCAAAAAACTCAAATTGGAACCCTGGAATAGTGTAAACTACTATGTGAATCCCAAAGTTCTATGTTTACTGAGCTGAAAGAAAGCATTAGTCATCTGTCAATTCAGGTGGCTGATTTAAAATTAGACTATAACATTCTTCGTGAGAACATTTCTAACCTCAACAAGCGTATCCAAGACCTTGAAGCGGCAAACAATTATTGTCGTCCTACTTTCTCTGCTGGCTCTGTCCCAAGAATTCTTCAAGAGATCTCTGAACGTGAGCGTTGCTCTCGGAATGTCATTATTCGTGGACTAAAGGAATCGTCATCTTCTATAATAGAAGAAAGAATCTCAGATGACACTTCGAAGATAGCTGAGGCAATCGACCCATACATTTCCAAAGTAGTTGGTAATCTCAAGTCAATCAGGCTTAGCAAGCCGAATGATAGGGGTTCGAGACCTCTCAAGGTATTCTTCTCTTCCAAAGAAATAGCTCATAAATTGGTTTCTGACTTCAATAAAAATGCCAGAGGACATCCCCCTGACAGTAGGCTTCGTTCTGTTACTATGACCCGTGATCACACCCCACTTGAACGAGAGTCTATCCGTCTTGTATACACCGAATTGGAAAACCGCAAAAAGAACGGAAAAACCGACCTTACGATCAACTACAGAGATTCCCCTTCATTGTGCCACTTTTTCGGTCATCGCAGACCAGACGCCATCATGCTTCTAACTCTATATTTGTCCATCCAAAAAACTAACAAGTACCGATCTACCACTGCCTAATCAATCGCCTCCTGCTTCGAACAAATCCGTCTTGTACTACCGATCATGTTTTTCAGATATACACCACAACTGTATGTATTACTCTAAATCTCAATCGTCTTACTGAACAAGCTGCCACTCAGCTCAACAAACTTTAAAGCCCTTCGCATTATATTTTAATAACTTTAAAACTTCATTTTCTAAACCCGGTGGTAATTCTACTACTAAAAGCAATAATATATGTAATAAGGCCCTTAATTCCAATCTAAAAATATTCTATCAAAATGTACGTGGCCTAAAAACCAAACTAGTCAATCTCAGATGTTCCTTCCCTATGTTTAACTTTTATGACGTCATTATCCTCACTGAAACTTGGCTAACTCCTGAAATAAGTGATAGTGAATTAGGTTTTCATGGCTTTCAGGTGATTAGACTCGATAGAAACCCAAACAACAGTTCTTTTCTCCGAGGAGGTGGAGTATTAATTGCCATCAATAATTCCATTAAATCTCATCCTATTACATTAAGTACTTCGAATGTTGAGTAAATATTTGCCTTACTGTTCTCCAACTTTCCGTCAAGTTTTTAAGGCTAAAGCTCTGTTATTATTAAAAAATGAAGCTTAATTAATTTTTATTTACATATATTATTCTATTTGTTGTTTTTACGATGGCTCTAAGCAATAATTGTATTCTTATTATAAATTTATTAATTATCAATTAATTTTCATTTTTTATCCTTATTGTATACATACATTATTTTTATAAATATATTTTTTTTTTACTTTTTTTGTCTCTTATGTCAATATATATATATATTTTTTTTTTAAATTATTTTTGCTAAAGGGGTTTTGCCCATTGATTATTCAAATAAATAAAAATAAATAAATAAGCTCAAGTTTTAAAGTAACGGATATAAAAACGCGAGCAGCTGTACACAGAAGTATCGAACCAAAGAACACGCTAAATAATTATTTCGGTGGCATTTCTTGATACCTATTTTGAGATGTACCGTTTTACGATGTAATTTTTTCTTCCATCGTTTTGTTTTTAGTATAATGTTTACCACATAATCATAAGAAAAAAATTAATTTTCATACAAAGCACTTGAACAAGTGCAGTTGCAAAATGATTATCATGTTAAATATATACAGTTACGAACATGATTTCGATCGGAACGAATGACTTTGACACCATGTAATACACGGATAAATAAATCTGTCAATATATAGTCAAGCGCGAGAAAACCATATAATATTTAAATTTAAAAAAAACCCATATGAATGTATGTACCTAATAATTAGAATGATAAAAATTAAGTTTTCGTTAAAAATACACGTTTTTATTAAGTACAAATGCACGCAATGCGGCTCGCAAGATTTTTTTTTTTAGAAGTAATAATTGGTTAGTTGCATACAATGGTTGAAAACCCATGATTGGATCGAATTAAATTCACACCCACATACATCGAATATATTTATATGTATGAATCGATCAAAATAAGTACATACACATACACATATACATCAGATATATATGTATAAATAATATATTTACTAATTATAATTGACACGCACTGTTGCAGATTGAAGGCATATTTTTATTCGGTTAGAAGCATATATAACGTAAAAAAACTGCATGCGTCGTTTGCGGATCAACGGCGTGTTAATAGTAAGTTTTTGGGATTCTGTAGTTGTAGTCGTTGACTGATAAAAAATATACTCTGATAGTCGGATGAATTGTTTCTTGTTATGAGTTGTACACCGCGAGAAAAGAAAAAAAAAACAAACGCATAAACGGCTGGTAAGTCTTATGTAACTTCTGTTTTTATTACCGGTAACGCAAACAGATACGCAGAGCGTCAAAGTGAAGACGTGTTTTTTATTTTTATTTTGGATGCCGTTAAAGTGTATAACCGAAAAAATACCACTGAAACTAACAATAATAATAAACTACCGAAACGACTCTCTACTTATTGTAATGTGAACAGTACTCGGATATTATATAAATATACATATATTTAGTATTCGTCACATAACACACATTATTGTAAAACATTAATTAGACGTTTCTGCTGTCTTTGGAAAGTATCTTGTCATGTACGTCTTATTCACTCATCGTACACGAAATAAAAGGCAGTTTTTATAATTTAAATTACAATTAAAATACATAATAATATATTATATTACTTTAACTGTTATATATATAAATATATATATATATATGTATGAATAAATACTTGTTAACAGAATTATCGATTGTGATCCTTTACAAATAATAACGAGACAACCGAACACAACCGTTTGCGGATGTCCCGTTGCACGATAACAATAAATATTATTTAGCGTTAGACGCATCGCGCGTACCTGTATAGAACGCGGTTATAATAATAATAATAGTAATAATAATAATAATAATAATAATAATAATAATAATAATAATAATA